TGAGGCAAGAGAAATTCCATTACATGATCCCAACAGGATTTGTAGCATTTTGTAGCATACGCTGAGTATGCTCTTTTGGATGAAAAGATACACGTCATAAGATAAATCTGGGTTTGACCAGGAGGATTAAATAACTTCAGCAGGCTTGAAAAAAAGTCTTGACAGAAAGTCTTGATAGGTGGCAGGGAGTTGAAATGTGGATATTCTGAATCCTGGAGGGAGTGTGCTCATCATTAGCTATTTCACTGGAATTTGTTTTAGTCTGATCTGAGGGTATCACCAACAGCAATAAATAGGCTGCAATTCAGGATATTGTACTAAATGTTCCTGAGAGTTTCTTGGGAGGCCGGATTCATACAAATGTCTGTTGCCAATGGCTGCTTCCACTGTTTTCCTTCGTGTTTAATATTCAGGTTATCTTGTTGTAATGCAATGTGTGTACATACTTGATAAGTAAGCTCAAGAAGATTTGACTTATTTTATATTCTATGGCTATAAACATCTGGGCTTTTCCTTCATCTGGATTTTCAACTTTTATCATCAAATTTTGGTTCAGCTCTGAATTCCTGAACAGTTTTGTGGAACTGGAGCCCTGTTGACTTATGCAGCATGTTCAGAGAATCATAAATTCATAGAATAATTAAGAGTAGAAGGGACATGTTGGGGTCACTGGATTTAATTTCTTCCTTGTCACGGGGCCAATTTCACAGATAGGTCAGATTGCTCAGGGACTGAGCTAAGCAAATTTTGAAAGTCTCCAAGGACACAGATCCCAGAGCCCTCTGGGCAGCACTCCAATGTGTAACCACTCTTTGTCTAAAACTCTTTCCTTGTTTCTCATTAGAAAATCTTTTGCTGGTACTTGCGACTGTTGCTTCTTATCCTCTTTGTGCATCTCTGAGAAGAATCTGCCTATGTTTTCTCTGTAAGACTCTGTCATTTCTCCAGGGAAAGATGCCAATTTTCTACCTTAGTCTTCTATTTTTCAGGCTGAAAAAAATTCAGCATGTAGTTTTTGCTTGTATGTCCTATACATATTTGTACTTACAACCATTTTAGTTTTCTTTCACTGTCATCAAATTCATTGGTGCTATGGATGTGCACGTGCTAAATTATTATTATTATTATTATTTTAAGTTTCTGGGCATGCACGTCAATCTCACCATCAGGCTTGCTGTATATCTGAGAAGAGGGGTGATCTGTTCCCTCTACTGATAGTTCCCTTCAACATCATGGCAGGAATCAGACTGATCAGTCAGTGTTGGCTTTAACAGTTATGTCACAGCCCTCACTTCTTTTTTTCTAAGTTTTTCTTCTTGATGAGATTAAGGGCACTGCTGGGTTTCAAGAACTGCATTTTTTTAGTGACCATTTCCCTAAAATCTTTTTTTTTTAAACCATGAGAATAGAGGGGGGAGTCTGTTTACAAAGAGTTTTGTTTAAATGTTAGGTCTTCATTGTAATTCAGTGGTGTTGAATGCAGTGCTCTTTCCAGTTTGGGACCTGCCAAGAAGTCTTTTCTTGGGTAAAAAAACAGAGCAGAGTGCCAGCTCCAGGGGAGTATGTCTGAATAGCTTGCTTGCAAGCAAGGCTTTGCTAATGCCAGGACCTCCCAGGCTGCAGTGAATTGTCAGAGCATGGAATCACCTGCACTGGTGCCAACCCTTAATATCTAGACTCCAGAGGAGCTGCCAGGAAAGCCGGGATGTTCTGGTCAGCTTGGGTATGGATGATTTTGTTGGATTAACAACAGCCATTTCAGTTAGCGTGGTGTGAGTTCTTGGTCTCTCTCATTCTCTCTTTTGCTCTTATACCAATTACCATGATGTTTAACAACCAATACCAGATACTTGTCTTGTGTGATGTACTTTGGTTCTGGTAACCTGCTTTCTGGTAGCCCTTTTTGTGTGCCTTGTCTTCTACTCTTCTGATCTGGATACTTGAAGTAGCTTCTGAATCTTCAACACAGACTTTGAGACAGCTGATCTATAGGATTGTATCACTTAATGGCTTCCAGAAAGAAGGTGCTTCTGTGCCCCTGTATTTAAACTGACTAGTAAGGTCATCATTAATGATACAAAAGATCGTGTTGCTTCATACCTGTCATCCCTGTGACTCTGCATTGTTAGCTCTGCTGTGTTACATTGCTGACTCTGGGTTGGATTTCTTTTTTTGTTTTTTTTTTGTGCTGGACTTCATATAAAGTATGTGCAGCTGTGGGGCCATTAGACCGCTTACACTTCTCCAAGAATTGCTTCCTTCATGGTATTAATGATACTGAGGGAAGCAGTTGATGCCTTTTCTGTTCTGGTCCATCAGTAACCCACTATGTACTGAGGATGCTTTATTAAATAATGACAGTCAAAGTTGCTCAGTGTCAGCTGCGAGCAGATTGCTTAGTACCATCTCCAGTCAGGTTCTGAGCATTTCCAAGTATGCAGTCTCCATAGACTCTGAGTCCCTCAGCCTTTACTGGTGCCTGGGGTTATTTCTTCCTGGGTGCAGGGCTCTGAATTCCCTTTCTTGAGCTTCGTGAAGCTTCTCCCTGCCCATTCCTGCAGCCTGTGGAGTTCCCTCTGCCTAGCAGTGTAACCAGTGGAGGGACCAGCCACTCCTCTCGTTTTCTGCATCCCCTGCAGTCGTGCTGAGGGCGTCCCCTCATCCTGCTCCCTAACAGAGACCTCCAGCAGCACCGCACCCAGTGTCCACCGCTGACTCTGGGATCTGGTTTTCGAGCATTTAGTTTTTTGGTGCTGACCAGACTCGCATACTCTTTTGTTGCTATCAAATGTGTTTCAGCATCTAAGAGCAAACATTCTTAGTTTGAGTATATATACCAACATTACCTTACTTAAAACCATTTTCTCACGGTAAAAAATTAAATTGTGTTGAATAGAAAGCATACCCTGCCGTAATACTCTTGACTATCTGTAACGACTCTGAAAAACCTCTGTAAAAACTAGTCAGGGAATGCCAGATGGACTAAAAAACATTTTTGAATGAATTGTTGTTTTTCTATGGTTACTTTTTTGTACCATAAGACAGAAAGGAATTTACCAAACATACTTTAGTAGAGCAGTCATGAAGGTTAGCAGAGAGCAGTGATCCTACCTGTGATTGGCAAATGTGCAGCATTAGCATCGTTTTCTCAAACGCTTCTAACATTTTTAAATAAAAAAAAGTATACTTAAAAAATATGTGTTACAGAGAAAGGGCTGGAGTGAAGTCAGGAAGAATGTGAGCCATTTTTTTAAGATAGTTGCAATTAACAGATTTATTGTAAGCTTTGCTTCTCACCATACAGAGCAGTTGCTCTGAGGGGGTTTCTTCTGCTGCTGTTCAGCTCTGAAGAGAGGTTCTGATGTAAAAAACAGTATAATGGAAGGGTAACAGATTGCAACTAACTTAAAAAAATCCTTAAAGGAAAATAAATCAGTTTTAGGGTGTTTCTTCATTGAGATGAAGGCTTCCTATTAAGACAGATGGGATCCGTGTTGCACAGGACAGAAATGATGTCTTTATTTGGTCCTGTCCAAGAAGGGTGGGATGTGTCATTTGAGTATTTTTGCTAGACTTCAGCAAGACATTTTATCGTTAAGCTGAACCTGTTCTATGGCCATTGTAATACCTGTGTTCAAAAAAGAAAAAAAAAAAGAAAAAAAAAAAAGTAAAACCTACCTATGTGCCTGAGATATTTAAGATGTAAAGATGTGACAGGCTGTGTTGAAGATATCTTCAGTAGATGAATCATTAGGAAAGAAAGATGTTCTAATCCCTATAACTCTCTGGGTAGCCATCTTTTAAATGTCCTATTTATTTATTTTTTCGCTTGATAACGAAATACTGGAAGCAGAACTTAAAGTGCCTGTATAGGCATTGGCCTTTACTGCTGTCATATGATGCGTTATTTGGTGTTTTACTGCTGCATCTCTTTTGCATGTTGCTTGGTTTCAGAATGGCCAGACTCCGCTCATGTTGGCTGCTGAGCAAGGCAACTTAGAAATTGTCCAAGAGCTTCTCAAGAAGGGAGCTAATTGCAACTTGGAAGATGCAGTAAGTATCAGGACTTTATCTTACAGTACCCAAGATACAAGGAGAAGGGATTTCAAGAAGCAGGCAAGGAAAAGTTATGTAGATGAGTATGTGCTGTGGGGGTGGTGCAGAGGGGAGAAGGATGGAAAATAATGACATTTAGGAGAAATTTTTTTCAAAATAACTGATTGTGTATTCTTCAGATTAGTCATGGCAGTGTTGAAATGGTATGTGCAGTGTTGTGATTGTTTTTGGTGTTTTTGAATGAATACTGAAAGAGAATTTGGATTGAAGAAATACTTTATGTGAAAGCCAGAAGACATACAAATAGAGAGAATCTTATGAGATTCTCTTTCTGACCACGAAGAAGGGGATGACTCCATCATGAAAAGGTGCCTGGTAGGAGAGAAGAGGGTAGAAGCATTCTGAAAAAAAATTGAGAGATCTGTATATTTCCATTAAGAACTATCAAAACCAGCGTTATTCATGCTGACAGTAGTTAATTTCTGTCACACGAGAAAGGTCTGGTGTCCTACTTGACCTCTTGGCTGGGGAGAGCAAATGTGAGGCATTTTTGGAGCTACTTCATTATGTCTTCTGTAAACGTTAGTTTCTATATTTATACATAGAATAATTAGAGTATAAGCAGGTACTGTATTTATATGTGTAGAGGTTATAAAACAAGACCAGTCCACACCTACGTATTGCTTGAGCAGTGGATGGAAGCCCCGTGTAGCACAAGTGGAAATTTGTCCCAGTCTCCTGGGTCTGCAACTCCCTGAGGTAGCAAAGGAAAGAAGTCTGGTCGCCTGAAGCAGTTGTGGATTTGGGAAGCAGGGCTGTGGTCTTGAAGTAGCAACATAGGTGCTGTTGTCCATAGTGTCCGAGTGGGATACTGAGAAGGAGAGGACATAACTGGAGAGGATGCTGGGCAGGTTGTCTATGAGTGAGATTTTTTGTTATTTAACTTTTATTTTGTTAGAGGACAGCTCTTTTAAGGAGCTTTGGATTTCTTATCATGTAGGTTGTATACTTGCAAAATAAAATAATTATATTAAAGTACTGATGTCACTTAAATTCCTTTTTTTTTTTTTGTAGGATAATTGGACAGCTCTTATTTCAGCATCTAAAGAAGGACATGTGGATATCGTAGAAGAGCTGCTCAATTATAATGTCAGTTTGGAGCATCGAGACTTGGTATGTGTTGTCCTAATGTTAAACAGTTAACATTGAATAGGTAATGTGAATGGTTGCCCTGCTTTAGTAACAAGAAATATTTGGAGAGTTGGAGATTTTCAGTTTGGTAAAACACATTGATGAGCTTTATCTTTGATCAAATCTTTATTTTAACTCAGTGCTGATAAAATGGAAAGAATAAACATAGGTAAATTACTTTTAACTGTTTTGTGATAGATTTCTGTGTTAATAATGGCTGCTTATTTTATAGGGTGTCTCTTTATGTACTTGGGCAGATTTTGCACTGGAAAGAAGCTAACTGAAGTGTTAGGTTGATAAGTGTTCTTGCCCAGAGGACATTCATATTGTATTTGAGTTTTTATGGTGTGGAACTGTGACTATTGATGTAGCAGTTTTAAGTTTTTAAAGAGTACTTTTCTTTTTTGATGTTTTCCTGAATTGTATTTGCCAGGGCGGATGGACGGCTCTGATGTGGGCAGCCTACAAAGGCCGTACGGAAGTAGCTGAGCTGCTCCTTGAGAAAGGAGCAAATCCAAACATCACGGGATTGGTAAGCTTTAGCCTTTTCAATAAAAGGAAGAAACAAGTTTAAAATGCTTAATCATCTATTATTTTGATTTTCTTGACTAATTATTTTCACTTTTTTGCACTCTAATACTCTATTATAATGTGATGGTTTAAAATTTGTGTCGCAGACAGGATATTTTATTTAAAAAAATGAAAAATACAGTTTCTAGTAAGACTTAAATCAGTAGGAGAGAAATACTAGAAAGGAATAAATAATGTATGTAGTGTGATCAGTATAACAATTCTCATTTTTGTCTGCATCTGTATAAGTTAATAGATTTCCTAATGTTGTGCAATCTAGGAACGTAATATTTTGTGTTAATTGTTTCGTAGTAGTTATCAAATCGACCGAACTGTACAAATGCATAGCATACATTCATAACTATAAGAGAATTACAAAAAGCCTGAGATTTATTTCATTTTCTGCATGTAAGATTTGTCATAAACACGTGGGCATCCTGAAACTTGACCAAGTAAGTTGTTTGTTATGGGCAGCTCACTGAAAACACAGGAACTTGTCTTTCTGCTTTGGAATTTAGTCTGGTTTGCACATGGAGCTTCTGCATGGGAGACAACTGATCTGCAGTCTCAATTAGTTAAGGATAATAGGAAACTGTCTGTGTTGTTTTTCTTTTGTTTTATAGAGGCATATTTGGAGGTAAGGATGTGAATTTTTAAATCTTGTTTAGGGAGTTTTAAAATGGTATCTTTTCCAAAGAGCAGACAACTTCCTAGCCATCAATAAAACAAAGTACCAAGAAACAGTTGGGTTTAAGTCTGTGTATTCCTTTTTCCCAGTTTTTATCATCTCTTGAAGCATTCTGATCGATATTTTGTTAGAGCTGAAACTGTAATTTATTCACATGGCTAATTTATTTTTTTTCTCCCTTTTAAGCAATACAGTGTTTATCCAATTATTTGGGCTGCAGGACGAGGCCACTCAGATATAGTGCATCTCTTGCTGCAACATGGAGCTAAAGTGAACTGCTCTGACAAAGTGAGTTGTTTAATAGTGACTAATCTCTCTAATGCTTGATACAGCTCTTGAAACAACAAATTCTTAGCATATTATGTCCTAAAATGACTTTTGCATCTAAAAAGAAATGAAAATGTATCCAAGATCTTTTGATTTAAAAACAGCTGCTATTATTTTTTCCCCCACCCATGAGATTAGAATTCATGTGCTAAAATAAGAATCTTTATGCTTGCAGGAGTATTGCAGATTTCTTAGAGTATGCTGGAGATGATTACAGTGAACGTGACTACAGTGGAGCATATTTCTGTATTTTAAGCTACTAGAAACTTTGCTGTGTTAAGTGACGTACGAAAATAATTTTTATAGCTGGTTGCCACTAAAGAAAAGAAGTTAAAATAGCTCGTCAGGTGGTTTTGTTAATTCTCCAGATGAAGTTAAGTCTCTGTAGGTTTAATGCATTAAAGCATAGGAAAAATATTGAATTTAGCTGATATCAAATACAAAGATTAATATAATAAAATGTTATTAATTTTTTTTTCAGTATGGAACCACCCCTCTGGTTTGGGCAGCAAGGAAAGGTCATTTGGAGTGTGTGAAGTATCTGCTGCAAATGGGAGCTGATGTTGATCAGGAAGGAGCTGTAAGTAAATGCTTGCCTTTCTGTGGTAAAATATGGGTACATAAGTCTGTGGGGGTTCTTTTTGTGTTGAATATAAATACCAAGCTTTATGTATGTATGCAAACATATATGCATTTATTTATATTAATTATTTATACCACATATACGTTTATACAATATATGCATTTATATATTTATATATATATTTCATCAGAAGATGAAAAGTTGATGTTGGAGTTTATTACTTTAGATTTATTTTCAAATGACTTTTGAGTACTACTTAGTCTTTTTTATGATTTTAATAAAAATATTATGTAACTGTATGTAACTGGCAAAAATCTCTCTCATCTTTCTCAAATCTCTCTCAAATACCTTCTTCAAATACCTATTTAAAATGCAAATCAAACACAAGGCATCTTAAAAAAAAAAGGTGCACTTTTAAAAGTTGGACAGTATTTTAGAAGTTTTCAGCTACAGGTATTTGTCTTCATAATACAGTGCGTTTTCATTTATTTCTCATGTAATACATTACATTCGATAATCTAAAATACTTATTGATAACAAAATGTCATTAAATGTTAGGTAGAAAGTTTAGAAGTTCTTCTAAATACTTTTTTCTGGCACACCTTTTAGCACGCCTAGGTCCCCTGGTAGGTGCTGTATTCTCATGCAACAGGAAAATGACTGTAGGGTGCATATGACGTGCAGGAGTTAGCATAGCATATGAGTTTTACTGTTTGCTTTTAATATATTATTTTTGTATTCTATTTTCCTTGCTTTTTAAAGTATGCTTAACGTGCTTTTAATTTTAAAAAAGTAATAGCTCTGAGGTAACAACTGAATGGCTAAGAAAGTAATGTGTCACTTAGTGTTTTTTTCGTTTGTTTGTTTTGTTACTTAGGCTATTATTACAATGATAATTTCTTTCTTTCTTCCTTTTTTTTTTTTTTTTGTTTTTAAGAATTCTATGACTGCACTTATTGTAGCAGTGAAGGGTGGCTATACTGACTGTGTTAAAGAAATACTGAAAAGGAACCCAAATGTCAATTTAACAGACAAAGATGGAAATACAGCTTTGATGATTGCATCAAAGGAGGGCCATACTGAAATAGTGCAGGATCTTCTTGATGCTGGAACCTATGTGAATATTCCTGATAGAGTGAGTACATTTTCTTACCATAAATGTGGTTTTGTGTGTGTATTTCTTCTTGTGTGTGTGCTTAAAGAAAAGGTATATATGAGCGTATGCAGATAATATATCCTTTTCCTGTGTGACGCTCTTGCCTTTCTGCATCCTAAGGGTATTTTTGCCTAGTGCTGTTTGCTGCTGTTCAGAATACATGCTATGTAAAGGTATACAAAAAGCTAATACTTTTTTTTTCTTTTTTTGTTGTAAGATGAAGCTTTGAACTACTACTTAATTTAAAATTTTTCATTTTCTTATGCTTTGAATTAGCAATTTCTTCCTTTTGGCATATATTGCAGAAGTGATCAGTCTTATATCTTTGTTTGTCCTATCTGTAACATGAGTAATACTCAACTAACTTGAATGCTTCATTTTTTTTTTTTTGTGTAGCAATGTATGCAACAGTGCTGTTAACTTGAAAATATGGGATGATATTGCAAAGAAAAGGAATATATTCATTTACCTTCATCTTTTACAATGAAACTTTCTTTTTAGGAACCTCTTGCATGTATTCGAGGAAGTGTAATAGAGTATATAGTGTATTTAGAGGAAGAGACTGAGAAAACCAAATGTAACTGTTGGCAGGTGCCCTGTGTATCTGAGCTGCTGTTGTGATGTTCAGTGGAAGCATCAATACAGGCGGTGACAGAGCGTGGATTGGTTTGCCAGGCACTCAAGCTTTTATTCAGTTGCCTTTGCAGAGGTATTTGGGGCTGCCCATGGTGCCACTGGGATATTCAGGTTTTTCTGAAGTGGCAGATGCAGGCTGACCACCATTCCCTAGGGCGCAACAGGAGCTTAGATACACGCATGAAACCCCTACATTTAGCTGCCTGTGTGAGAAGAGCATTTTGTGTTAGAGCAGCCATATAGCTTTGAGGTGGAATTCCCAGTCATCTACACTTACCATAAATTTTAGGGATTGTAGAGGAATGAGAAAAAAATCCTAGTATCTGTTTTTTAACTTGAAAACATGATTTTTGGCATATTTCTTTCCTAGCTTTCAAGTGTCAATTAGTGTATTTTTCAGGTGGCTTCACAGCAAGCTGCAGTGTTGCATGTAACAAAAAACCCCCCGAAACCCTCAAGCATTTACCAGAGCAAAAGCTAAAATTTTCAAGAACATACATCCCTTTCCATCTCTTTTCTCACAAAATTCTGCAACTGTCCTCTGCTCTATGGAAAGGAAAGATTACAACTTTCAGTACAGTTGATTGTATTCCAAAAATACGTCCAGTAATGATTAGTCTCATTTTCTTGCTTGGCTGTCAGATACGCAATGACTGTGATTGATGGGAGAATGCTTTCTTTAACTGTGGAACTCTGTTCAAAAGCTTTTATATCTAGTTTTTGCCTTTTTTTTTTTTTCCAGCTAACTGTGATATTTGAAAAATCCGAAAAATCCTTTTTTTGTTTGTTTGTTTGCCTTAGGCTTTTACTAAATACATGACAGATAAGTATTAGAGAGGTAGTTTCAGGATTTCATTTTCTAAAGCTCTGACGTAGCCCCCTGTGTTAAAATTAGGCTTTAAACATAGTTTTAACTGCTTCATGCTTATACTACACCAAAATTATTTCTAATAATTTATATGAGTTATTTGAGGTAGAGTTAACCTTTTGTTTCTTCCTAACAGTAGAGCATATGTAAACAGGATAGCAGTCAAAAGTGTGAACACACACAAAAAAAGAAAGAAAGAAAAATTCTTCAAGATATTCTATGAGCTATGAAATGGCTAAAGCAAGATCAGACAACCTTTTGTAGAGAGGTTATTATTGTGGGCAGCTGGTCTTTCTGTGAAGCAGCTGAGTTTTTCTGTATGTATTTACAATATATGCTTCCTTTTTTTCTAAGATAATAGTTTAAGTTGAACTCATTTTAGGTGTTTGTTTTGCCATAAACATGTATTATTTAATCTCTTGGTTAAAAAATAAAATATTTTTTTTTACCTCATACACAGTGTATGCATCCAAGGACATAAATATTTTTCATATCTTTCTTTAAAATGATTTTAAGTTTCTTAATGAAAATGGCACACGGTATAATTGGAGATGATAACTTGTTTCATGATATCTTTCTTTCTGACAAATAGTGTTAACTCAGCTTTGATGCTCTCTCACAATTTTTCCAGAGTGGAGACACAGTGCTGATTGGAGCTGTGAGAGGAGGCCACGTGGAAATCGTGAGGGCCCTGCTCCATAAATACGCTGATATAGACATTAGAGGCCAGGTATGTTCAGCAGTGTAAACGTGAGTGCTGTTTAGGCGGGTCTCTTGCTGTGCTGGGTTTGTTGCTTTCAGTAAGTTCCTTTTCCACAGTTCCTGACCTCGATGTTGCCTACCTACCCATCCCATCCCCTGTATACGGTGGTGTTTTTATTCTTCTACCAAAACCCCTATTGCTCGGCACAGAATTTGCTTTCATTATCATATCTGTCAGCTTCTTGTTGACATGGGTCTGAAAACCAGGAGTTTTTCAATGTCTTGATGTGAAATAGAGCCCCAAGAAGCAGCCTGAAGCTGCCGGGAGCGGGGAGCTGGAAGCTTGGGCTCGAGGATGACCCTGTCCCTGTTCACAGCTGTTAAGCTTGAGAGTGTATTTGTATTTGGGGCCTTGTTTGCACTGGAGGAGGAGGTACCATCACAGGAAGATTCTGGTTGTGCACTTTAGATATTTAGAATAGGACCAGGGATACCAAAACTGGCAATAAGTACTCGTGTTTTTGTTTTGTTTTGTTTTGTTTTGCTTTTCTGGGAGACTTAACTGCCTGCCCAGAGCCTGGGTTTGTGACGTTGCAGCAAGATTGCTGGGTCCTGTGTGGCCTTGCAGGTACTCTGCTCCCTGCTGCTCAGTAACGTGCTCCTTAATGTGATTCAGCCAAGGGAAAACCTAGATAAAATGTCACTAGAGTGGCCAAGAATAGGGGGAATGGAGGCCCAGGTCTTATCGCCCTCGATCCTTCTTGGAAGGGGGGCAGTCCCAACTTCAGCCACCTTGCTGGGTGATGCTGCCAGCCAGGATTCAGCCTCCTCACTCTGCGGCCTTGTTGGAACCACCTGGCTCAGCCAGATTTTAATATGGGCGATAATATTTCTTTCATCCCCAATTTCCACAGAAGTACTAATTAAATTAGGTAGCATTTCCCTTTGTCCCAAACTGCTAAAATTATGCTGTGTAGTATTCTGTTTTCAATATGGTAGTTGTATTTTATAGTTGTCTTTGCAATCGATTCAATTGAATTAAAGTATTAGTAACATCTGTTATTTTTTTTAATCTGTTTATAGGATAATAAGACTGCTTTGTATTGGGCAGTTGAGAAAGGAAATGCCACAATGGTGAGGGATATCTTGCAATGCAATCCTGATACTGAAACATGTACAAAGGTAACTTAATTGTGGAAGTGATTTTGTTTTAACATCTTTTCTTGATTCCTACATAAGTTTAAGATAATCATAACCAAGTTCTATTGTTTTTAACTGTGGAAACCTGTGCCTGTTTAAAAATAATTCTAAAATTTTGTTTCTAAGTTATAGAATCTTATTTTAAGTAATGTTATTATTCCCTTTGATTAAATAATTGCTTTCCACTAAAACTGGGTACAGAATCTGTGAATAATTTCCTTCGGTAATGTTGACATTAAACATAATCAGGGTAGAAAGTAGATGCCAGCAGAAAGTGAAAGAAACTTCTAGTATTACTAACTAGAAAGTTCTGCAGTTGTTGATTGTGTGTACAGGAGAGGAAGCTAGAGGAAATAAAGCAGAGAATTAACATGTCATTCTTCCAATCTGTTCTTACACCTTTTCGTTCCAGTCGCTCCTCAGATCTCTTGTATTTTATCTGCATCTTCTCTTTCTCTATCCAATATTTATTAACAGAAATATGTCTTGTGCACCGGGAATCTCATCACTCTTGATTGCAGTATTTGTGATGCTTCAGGAACGTATGCACTGAAGTGTTGATACCTTCATAGTAACATTTTTTATTGAAAAAATTATTTCTTAAAAGTTAAGAATTTAATTTGAAAACAATTGTTAGTGTTTGCTTAAGTGGAAGATTTTTTATTGGGTCTATTTTTCACTTTTAGGATGGAGAAACACCACTTATAAAGGCAACTAAGATGAGAAATATTGAGATAGTAGAGCTCCTTCTGGACAAAGGAGCCAAGGTTTCTGCCGTAGATAAGGTAAAGAATTTTTGATAACTTATTTCAGTACGTTTAATCCTTTTCATTTTGTAGGGGAATTTTGTAGCGAGTTGTCAAGGATGAAACATGAATAATTTTTTTTTTGTTCTGTTAGAGGTGGGATAAGAATCATTCAGTTTTCTAGAAACCATTCATACCTTATTTTTAATTTTTAGATTTTGCACAATGGACATGTAACTTACAGTTATGGTGATTATGATAGAACATTAATTTTGCTAAAAGAATGCAATAATGATTTTCTTCAGTTGTTTTATTTTATTTTATTTTATTTGCTATTGTTGTATTAAAAGCCAGATACAAGTGCCACAAAACAATGGGACTGAATCTGAAAATGATTATTGATATTTTTATACGACAGTTATTAAACAGGCTGATTTTTGAGTAGTTTCAATATTTGGTGTTTAATTATTTATGGACCTGATTCTAGAAAGCTCATATTTAGTGCATACCAGAAATCTAGTTGCTTATCCTCGTGATTCAATTTTTCTATGGTAACAAACAAAGTACAGCCCCAGGCTTGAGTCTCCCATAGATTCAGTAATTAAGAAGATCAAAATACTTAAAAATAAGTTTATTCCCATTGTTGGTATTTTTAACTTTTGCTTGATTTTGGATGATTTTAGTAATATGAAAAAGCATCCTTATCAGAAATAAGAATTTACTTCTGGGTTATCACATGTCTTTTTAAAAACTTTGGTGGTGCTTCTTTGAGGAAAAAGGCATTTGTCATACGGTGTTAATGGTATTTAGAATACCTTAAATTGTATCTCAAGTAACACGCCTATAATGATGTGGAACATATGGTCCCTTCATAAGCTTATTAATTTGTATTAGGTGTTACTAGTTTTTCACTTAATTGCAGAGAGGAGACACTCCCCTTCATATTGCCATTCGTGGAAGGAGCCGTAAACTTGCTGAACTGCTCTTAAGAAATCCAAAAGATGGTAGATTGCTTTATAGACCAAACAAAACAGGAGAAACACCTTACAATATTGACTGCAGTCATCAGAAAAGTATTTTAACACAGATATTTGGAGCCAGTAAGTATAAGTAGTTATCTTTTACTCAGTTCTAAGTGAATATTGAAGAAAATAAAACTTATTTTGGAGAGATAATAACTAAAGGAATAGTTTTCTCTTTTATTGTTTTTAATTCACTTGTATATTAAGAATCAAGTTTATTCAGTTACATATTTAAAACTGGAATGATTCACGTTTTTAAATGCTTTGCTTAGCAGGAGATATCAACAAAAAACCCCACCTTTGTCTTTCCAGAATTCTGGATAGAATGGGCCTTTGTATTTGACCTCTGTCCTTTGACATGATGTTGATGCTTATGTTGATGGTTTTGTTTCTACTTCACCTTTGCTGATATAAGAATTATTTTCTTCAGCTTGAGGCGTGATTTTGAGTCTTATATATTAAGCCATATTAATTTTGATAATTATGTAACATTCGTAGGGACGATTTTCAAATTCCAGTGAACAAGAAAGTGTGAGTAGTAGTTCATACTACTTCCCATTAAGTAGGAAGAATATGTATACAAATATAGGCTAAAAAAAAGGTCATGATTCTGTGTACAGAGATTATCAAGTGAAAAAAAGCTTTACACGAGTGTTTGTGTGCCAGGGCACTTGTCTCCCACGGAGTCTGACGGCGACATGCTGGGCTACGATCTCTACAGCAGTGCTCTGGCTGATATTCTTAGCGAACCCACCATGCAGCCACCTATTTGTGTTGGGTTGTACGCGCAGTGGGGAAGTGGAAAATCTTTTCTTCTCAAGAAACTGGAAGGTAACATTTAACTCGGCCTTTCCTACTGATCCAGATCCATGCTACTGCATTGCATGGGAGTTAGTGTGGTTGCAACAAACAATGGCCCATGCCTGTTGCTGCAGCACAGGAATTTAAACTGTAGTTCAGGATATAATTTCAATCATCTTTTTATTCTCTATTGTGTATATTTCCTCTTTAAATAGATCTAAATACATTTTTCAGGAATTCCTGTCTGAATAAACATGAATCAACAAACAGAAAATAAATATTAAACCCTTTTACCTAGTAATACGCATGATGATTTAATGTATTTGCTGCTAATTTCTGCAATGAATTATTATTATTTTTTTGAACAGGTAAGATTTCTTTTTTGTGGTGTCATAAATATATTTTGTAAAGTATTGAAGGAGCATAGATATTGGCATGGCTTTAATATGCCTTTAAAAATAGAAAATCTGCAGCAAGCAGTGCAGTAATTATATATTTGAAAGTTTTCATTCATTGTGTGGGTGAAAATTGATTTTTTTCATTAAGAATTGAATCTCTTTTCAAACAGTATTGTCTTTTTATTTATTTATTTTGGAATTAGTATCAGGGCAAAGTCACAAATTTGAGGTAAAAGCAAGTGCTTTTCTTCAGAAACAAAGATTGTTATAATGCCGCTTTTACTTTCTATTCTAGAAAGATTATTGACATGTTAACCTATTAGCTGTTCTTTTTGGGTTTTAGATGAAATGAAAACTTTTGCAGGACAGCAGATTGAGCCTCTGTTCCAGTTCTCTTGGCTTGTTGTATTCCTTACACTTCTGCTGTGCGGAGGTTTGGGATTACTACTTGCTTTCACAGTGGATGCAAAGCTTGGAATTGCAGTGTCCCTCAGCCTATTAGCAGTTCTTTATATATTCTTTGGTAAGTCTGCTCTTTGATAAAACATTTTTATGATGCTTCTTAGTTTATTCTTAGAAATCACTGTTTTCTGTCTTGTAAACATATTTTGTGATTCAGAAAACACTACTAAGTATTTTTATGGAAAACAAGATCCCTGATGGTATTTCCTTGTGCTTTACATGATTTCTGAGAGGTCATTCTTGAAAGCAAAGCAAAATTTTGTATAAACCTTCATTATTTTGCTCTTAATCCCATTTTTAGCCATAACTGTTACTCATTCAGCTGGTTTTACACAGCTCCGTTCTTGTCCAAACTTCGTGATTGTTTCAGTTGTGAATATCTATTGAAATATATTTTACCAAATGTTTGTTTCCAGCCGTAATTTATTTTGGTGGTCGAAGAGAAGGTGAGAGCTGGAACTGGGCCTGGGTGTTAAGTGCCAGGCTGGCAAGACATATTGGGTATTTAGAGTTGCTTCTCAAACTCATGTTTGTGAACCCACCAGAACTACCAGAACAAACCACTAAAGCTTTACCTGTCAGGTTAGTGTCACTTATTTACTCTTTCATATGTAACTCAACTTTGCACTAAACTTTTTCACTGTATATCAAAATGTGTATGTTTATCTTCCCATGAAATACTGTTGAGATTTCTGTGCGGAAAATAGTACCTTTAGAAGAAGATACAATTAAATTTCTGAGCGTGAAGGAACTACTCATGTTTTTGGGGAAAGAAATATCTGTTCATGGCAAATTCAGTGAAACAGTGCTTTTTAGCATGATGGTCAAAAATCTTAGTACTAATTATAAGTATTGGAAATGCTTCAAAGTGCAAGTTGAAAATAGATGTATTAAGGTTGGGGATAATAAAGATGAATTTTTATATTTTTATTGCTTACTGAGCGCTACCATTTAGTGATATGCCTGTTTTTACCTTTTTATAAAGTCAAATTTTAGGATAGGAAATAGGGCAAATAAGTTGATAAAAGGAAGAGAAATAAATTTAATCTCTATATTAAATTAAAGTATTTTACTTTTTATCCCACTTGGTCTTCCATCTGCAGATATGCAGGAAAATATTTTTTCTTGTTGCCAAAAAATATTCATAGCTTTCTAATCTATGCAAAGCACATTCTTTCTCTTTCAGATTTTTGTTTACTGACTACAATAGACTGTCCAGTGTAGGTGGAGAAACGTCACTGGCTGAGATGATTGCGACCCTCTCCGATGCGTGTGAAAGGGAATTTGGTTTCTTAGCAACAAGGCTATTTCGAGTCTTCAAGACAGAAGATACCCAAGGTTTTTATTACCTGCATGACCTTTCTGATTATTCCATTTCTTTGTGCTGTTACCAGAAATTCTGTTAAACTAAGGCTTTTGAAACTAAGCTTTAAACATGCAGAAATTCATACTTAGAGGAATAAAGGGAAAACTGTGTGTCGTCCTAGAGAGAAAAATGTCTTTTTTCATAGTATCAGGATAGCTGGAAGTGTTAATGGAAGTCCTTCGTGTTGTGCTGAGAAAAAATTGTCGTCTTTGTATTAGCTTTTTTGTTCAGAGCTGCTCCATTGTGTGTGAAAGTTTTTGTATATAGAAAAGACCAAATAATAATTCCAGGTGGTAGCCTATAATTTCATTTTAGTTCTCTAATGCAATTATTATTATATTACCTACACATAATGTTTTATTTTAAAACCAGTTAGTTACCTAGCTAATATCTCTGATACTTTGCTAACACTTCATAAAAAAGGGAAGATCCTACAGAGGAGAATCCTGCTTAATAAAGACAATTTGCTTCTAGTGTTTTATTTCTTGAAACAATGGAAGTAAACTATAAATTAAAAGAAGATCTGCTTCATTGTTTCCAAGAATTTTGGCAAGCTTAAACTTGTTTTTCAAGTCTGTGTAGTTGCATTGAAGTAACCTCCTATGGAAGCTAGTGTTTTTGTGGAAAGTATTCAGAATAATAAGCTGTTACACTTGCCTGTAAATTCTGCACTCATTTTAACAGGAAATACTTGTTTTATAGGTAAAAAGAAATGGAAGAAAACTTGCTGTCTCCCATCCTTTGTGATTTTCCTGTTCATATTGTCCTGCATTGTCTCTGGGATTGCTTTGCTGGCCATATTTAACGTGGAACCAACAAACATGACAGTGAATGCTATTCTTATAGCAGTCGCGTGCGTTGTTGGCTTGGCCTTTATCTTGAATTGTCGCACCTGGTGGCAAGTGATGGATTCGGTTTTAAATTCTCAGAGAAAACGTCTTCATCATGCTGCCTCCAAGCTCCACAAGTTAAAAAGTGAGGGGTTCATGAAGGTAAGCATCCATATGAATTAACCATTTAAAACCAAAAAAAAGCCCAAACTCAAATTGTAAACCTGAAGTGTTCGTAAGAGATAGTGGCACTGATTTCATCAGGCCAAGTCTATATCAACAGGAGAATAATTTTGGCAGGTTTTGACAGAAGGGAACATTTCTGTTCCGCTGACAGTTATGCTTAGTGTACATGATCCATGTTTGCTCAACTAGGAATGTTAACTTTGGATTATGTTTTCAGCTTCTAATTTTATTTTTGTTAGGAGGAGAATATTAAGAAAACATGATCTATATTGGCTAAAAGTTTAAATCATAAGACTAAGAAGAGTAACTTCTGTAATATTATTAAAGTGGGAAAAAAAACATGTCAGCCTGTCTGTCTGCAAGACCTCTTTACTAAGAGAAGAAAGATAACATTGAAAGCACATTCCAGAAGAGTTCAAATGTTTTGTGAAAAATAGCAGGAAATGTTAGGTTTTTGTTGGGTTGCAACATAGCTTAACTGTTTAAAAAAAAATTACAATATCAGAAGAACAGCAGAAAACAGGAGACTGTCATAAAATATCCCATCTACCTTTATTTGAAGATTAACTCTCAACAGCCCGAGAGTTACTTCTGTGGGTTACAGATTAGTTGTTGTACAACCTCCTCAAACATTTAGGTAGCACCTCATCTGTGTCTGTTTTGAGTGTGGCTCAGCTTGTACAACTTTAGACATTGGAAATGTAGGCTTACACTGAAAGCAAAGGGAATGGGCTATTCCAGATTGTGATTCTTATGACTTATCTCTTCTTAATGTTCACATTCAATAAACCTAGCAATGAGTAAATCAGATTTAAATGTCTAGCTTTCTGTTGCTAAAATTAGGGCAGATGAATTCCACCTTCAATTCTTTATTGAAGGAAAGCCTAATTATATGTTATATAGTTACATGTCTAATTTGATACTGAAAACTTAAAATTTTTCAAGTTATAAGAATATGAATCATGACTGATCATTCAGCTAGTGAAATAACTTTTATGGAAGGCAGATACAAAATTTCAGTGCAGACAGAGTTCAGTATTTATAAGCATTTCTTCTTCTAGTCTTATTGAAGCATTTTAGGGTAGGTAACAATCTGTAAAAGGAATTAGATGTTTATTTTTGAGTTTTCAATACTGCAGAAATGTCTTTCCTTCTTTGCTTTTCTTTTTCGTAGGTTCTGAAATGTGAAGTGGAGTTGATGGCCAAAATGGCAAAAACCATTGATAGCTTTACTCAGAATCAGACAAGACTTGTTGTAATTATTGATGGGTTGGATGCTTGCGAACAAGACAAAGTTTTACAGATGCTTGATACGGTGAGTTGGATCATATAGAGGCAATCTCTGGTTTTCTGTCTTCCATAAATGGGCTCAGTTACTTTTAGCAGCCATGTATTTGCCATAACGAGAAGTTAAATAGATGTACAGAGTCTTTCTGTGTTTTACTCATTTTCTTAATGTTTCAGCATAGCTGTAATACTAACTCATGGCTTTAAGCAACTGAGAGTAAAGTCCAAGGAGATTTGTTGGAATAGGCATGTTATAACATGTTTTGAAATCACAAGATGTAAATCATTAGTGTCCCATTAAAACGAGCGTTATCTGTATAATAATGATTTCTTGGTGGTGACTGTCTTATGATCTGCTTTCTTACAGGTGCGAGTGTTGTTTTCGAAAGGCCCTTTTATTGCTATTTTTGCAAGTGATCCACACATTATTATAAAGGCTATTAACCAAAATCTTAATAGTGTCCTTCGCGATTCAAACATCAATGGGCATGATTACATGCGAAATATAGTCCATTTACCTGTGTTTCTGAATAGCCGTGGGCTGAGTAATGCAAAAAAACTGATGGTAGCTTCAACGACCAATGGAGATATTCCCTATACAGAGAATGCAGGTAAGGATGTACAGGAGAATTATCTGTAAGTTACAAAAGCAATCTTTATAAGATCTATTTTTTAGAACGAACTATTTAAATAATTGACAAATCAATTAAATACATATGAATTGAAAAATGTTTTATGTATATTTATATTTTAATAGGACTACATGAAGAAGTTGACAGAAGAGTTTCTCAGAACAGTCTTGGAGAGATGACCAAGCTTGGTAGCAAAACTGCTCTTAATAGACGAGTAAGAAAGATATTAGAGTAAACGAAATACTGTTAATACCTTGTACTTTTCTTTTAGATTTTTCACTATGTCAGTTTCAAAGACTTAAGCAGTCCTTTATTATTAAACTACCATTGATGGTCCTTGTAGGAAAAATACATCTAAACTGATAATCTACTAGAAGGGAAGAAGTTTGATCACCAAAACATTTTCTTTCACAAAGACTTAAATTCAGAAAGGGAGTTGGAATGTCCAAACTCTCTGCAAATGCTGAGCTAAGACACTGTCTTGGTCATCTGTATATATATGCTTTTTAGATTCTTATGTATAAGCCCAGTATTATCTAGTCTGTGACTGTTCCTACAAGGGACAATAATCAAACAAATCAAGGAATTTGGAATATTATGGGACTTTTAGAGCAGCATGTTCACCACACTTTTTTTTTCCATTATTCTATCTATTCTATCTCCCCAACATAGTACCAGAAAGTTGGTTAAATAAAGTGCGAATACCATATTACAGTCTGATTACTACATCACTAGGGCAAAATATATTCCCTTAAATATCTTTATGGATTTTCAGTTCAACCTCACAGATACTTATTCATGAAGTTTCTAACTTACGAGTCAGTAAATTTCCAAATAAATACAGGTTTTTGACACTAATCGATATTGCTTGCTTTTTGATTTAATTATCAGGATACTTACAGAAGACGACAGATGCAACGTACCATCACTCGCCAGATGTCTTTTGATCTGACCAAGCTTTTGGTTACAGAGGATTGGTTCAGTGATATTAGTCCTCAGACCATGAGAAGATTACTTAATATTGTTTCTGTGACAGGTGAGCATGGCACATATGGATACAGTAAATAGTGTTGTCTTTTGGTTGGTTACAGTTACATCACGTTCAGTCTTTAGTGTGCAAACTGAATGTAACAAATCAGGTTACTATCAATGCGGATGAAAAAGAGAACTTGGGCACTATTTTCAAATATATGTTGATTTGGAAAATCTTCCCCAGCAAAAACTCCTAGAGTGCTAGCAAAGTATGAACAGATAGATTTTAAACTATTGTTTTTAAGTACAGCTAAAAAAATACTTAATTTTTGGTGTCTCATTGAATGAAGTTAGTGGGAGTCAAATATTTCTAATCTACTTTTAAAAGAAGTGTGATATTTTTAATCCTGAAGTAGAGTAGTAAAATATGCAACATTTTAACTTTCCTGGAGCAAGGAAGGCTTCCAATCAGTATGGAAGATCAGGTAGGGAGCACCTAAACTGGACAAGCAGAAGCTGTGTTTCCTGATGGGATGTACCCATGAGGGAGCTGGCTAATGTCATTGCTAAGCCATGCTCAGGCATCTCAAATAGGTCATAGGTGTCTGGAGAAGTTCCAGAGCATTGGGAGAAATGTTACCTTTGTATTCAAGAAGGTAAGAAGGAGAATCTGAGGAGCTGCAGGCTAGTTGGCCTCACCCCAATTCCTAGGAAGGTGGTGGAGTATCCTAGATACCATTTCCAGGTGATGAAGAGTTGTCAGCATGGATTTATGAAGGGGAAGTAGTGCTTAACCAACCTGATAGTCAGCTGTGAGGAGATAACTGGGTTGGGAGGTGAGGGGCGAGTAGTGGGCATTGGTTCCTGGGGCTTTTAGCACTTTCTCCCTTAACATCCTCATGGATAAGCTTGTTTTTTTTTGCTGAAATATTAGGATTGTCGACAGGTTATATAATTACTAAGTTGAAGATTCTATTCATGAAGCTCTTTGTGGAGTTACCGTAAAACTAAAGAAATGCTCAGTGAGGAGGACTGAAAACTGGCTGAAATGGCTCAAGGGGTTGTGAGCAGTGGTCAGAAGTTCAGCTGGAGACTTAGTCATGTCCCATTTTGGGGCTCACTACTTGAGGCCAATACTGTTTATTATCTTCATTAATGATCTAATATAGAAATACTGCAATTGCCCAATGCAGATAAAGCATGGATTCAAAACAGCTGGCATCAGGTTCAGCCTCAAGTGAATGTAGTTGTGTTGCCTACAGTGGCTTCAGTTAGGGCGGCCTGTCACTGTTCCTGGAACGTACCTGGAGCTAATGAACTTGCTGCAACCATCTGAGCTGCTTTAGAAGTGTTTGCTTTCCAGAGTGATAACATGGGATGGACTGGAAGTGATTCCTGCAGATCCATTTGGGACTGTGGAGAGTTGCTTCAGCCATATCACTGTTGCACTTAACACTGCACTTCTGGGAGGGCTTGTTTCCAGCATGGCCCAAGTTGGCAGCTGGTTCAGGTTTCTTACAGTGCAGTGCCAAGGTGATGGTCATCACAGTACTCCTGCTGTGTGGTACAGAGACGTGGGACTTAGATCTCTGAGCTGAGATTCAGCCCTGGACAGCCAACTAGGGTGACACTGAGTGGCTGCCTATCTCTGCAGGTGCTTTCCTGCTTCTTGCATTATCTGGCTTATCCTAATGTCCCTTCATGCAGATTATGACAAATTGAATGTAAATGCGTCTTCTAAACTAAATAAAATAATCCATTACGTATTTCTATTCCTTTGTATTAGTGCTAGTAATAGTAGAAGAGTGTTAATGTCTTTTCTCTCCCGTTGACTTTTACATGTTTATATGTGTTAACTGTTTATACATGACAATAGACGTAGCATTCAGAGCGAATAGAAGCCGAATTTCACAGAAATGTGCAGTCTCTTAGCACTGTCACTACAGTTTGGAGCACAAAATGTCTGTTTCTGGCAAATTATAGTGCAGATGTGAAAGTTTAGTGAAGGCACAAACTGTTAGTTACCAGATGTAAAAATAGAACTGCAAAAACACTTTTCTCCTCCAGTACTCTTTGGTTACGTATGGTAACTCCATAAAGAGCTTCATAAATAGAGTCTTCAAGCTAATAATTATCCAGCATGTCGGCAGTCTTAATGTTTTAGCAAAAAAAAATGCTGAAACTTGAAATACAGAAGCTCTGACATTAACTTGCATTGTTCATTCTTTTTCTGCTTTTTAAAATGTGTTTTATAGTTAAGCTTTGGCTTATTAAACTGAAAACTGCCTATTGCCTGTATTGTTTTCAGCTTTGAATTTTCTTTATTCACTAAGATAGCAGCTGTATCTGTACTTGCTTTGACTCTGATATTTTGTCTCCCAGTGTACAAAAACAGTACTAACATAACTTCCATTTTAAAGTTGGAAATTCAATGCTGTGTGAACTGTGTTAAGTTTTGTGGTAATGTCAAGTTCACCTTAACAGGATGATGATAATTAGTGTTTGACATAAAGTAGAAGTTGACAGTTTTGGAGAGCCTGTGTTTTGACCAATATCTTCAAAACTTTTTATCAGATTGTCAAATCATGTTTTTTAGATGTGCTGTGAGATCAGATAATTTGAACTTACTGAGCTAAAAATATAATACCAGGAAGTTAAGAGATCAGGTCAGTGGACTTGCATAGCTGCTACTTCCACAAAAAGATTTTTTCTTTTGAAAACTGCAAACCAAAAATCTGTGTTTCTTACTTCGTTTTGTCTCATACTAAGGTCGTTTATTGAGAGCTAATCAGATCACATTCAATTGGGATAGACTGGCTAGTTGGATCAATCTCACAGAGCAGTGGCCTTACAGAACATCATGGCTCATACTACATCTTGAAGAGACTGAAGGTGTTCCAGATCAGCTGACTTTAAAAACCATTTATGAAAGGTAGGAATTATTCTAGTAGTTGAATATGCTTTCAATTATTAAAATTGTAACATTATTTATGATTATTAGAATAACATGGCTTTCAAACAGCCACCAAGATGTAATCCAAAATTGCTACAGTCTTACTGTCTTCTGATAACTTTCAGCAACTTACTGACTTTTAAATGGCTTTCATTGATAATTAACCATTTTAAAATATATTTTTTAAAATTAAAAATCAATGGAGTATACTGGAATTCTTTTATTGATAGCTAGTTGTGCATATGTCTCCTTCCTGTTGATTTTCACTTCACCTTAGCCAAATTGCAAGAGTTTTTTTTCTTGCAGAGATTCTTGCAAAAACCCTATCTTTGACATTGCTGGTTAGATCTGTGGGGATTTGTTTTTCCCTGATTGTGTTTGGGAATGTGGCAGTGTCTTGTTAGATCTGTTTTTCCCTGGTTGTGTTTGGGAATGTGGCAGTGTCTTGTGCTGCTGTTAAAGACTAAAAGGGTGAAGCTAGACTTCCTCTTTCAGCTACTGATAGAAGTTGCTGTCCAACTAAGTTGTCTTAGGTCTTGCAGCTGAGAGCAAGTGGTCCAGTGAACCAGCCTCTCTTTTCAGTATCTGGCTGTTTTCCAGAAGGAAAACAGCTTGTGATGGGCGATCTGATGACACTGGGAAGAATAAAAGAAAACAGTCTGAGGCTATAGGAAAAGAGCAAAATCTGATAATGGAAGTCCATGGAAAGAAGCAAGGATTTGAACTTGTATAAAAAGTGATGTAAGGTCAGATGAAAAGCAGGGCTGGGGTAAAGATGGAAGACAGAAATTGTTTGAAGAAGTTGCTAGAAAAGCTAGAGATTTCTCCGAGGCTGAGGGAATAATGGAGAGGACAGAAAAAACAATTATTCTAGAGAGTAAATCCACAATTTCTGTATTTTACCTTGATATCTTTGAAATCATACTGGTATTATATGTGCCCTATACCTTAGTGTACTTGTTACTTAACACTGATAATGTCACAGATGTTCATATTTGCATAGTAATTCACAATCATCAGGGACTCCCTTTTACCCCTCATATGTCCCAATACCCTGGCTTAGTTCTTGGTGTGTGGCTTGGCATGCTTTATGATTTTATATTTTCAGTAATTTCATTATTCAGCAGTTCTTTGCTACTTAAATAGAGTTGGTAGGTTTGTCATCTTCTGGTTAGAAAGGACAATTATGATCTGAGAAAAGAAAAATAGGTCCAAGTGATATTTCAGAAACTTGATACCTCCTTTATAAGGCATCTTTGAAGATTCTCATCTGTTAACGAGGAAAATGAAATTCACTGACTATTTTTAACTGAGAAAGTCCTGCCTGTAGCTGAGTGAGCAATGTAAATTTAAACAGTCATTATGAAAGAAATGCACAGGACTCCATGTAAGTCCTGATATCAGACTTCTTGTCTTTAACAGTATGGAAAAAACTCAGTTGTTTGCCCTTTAGTGAATTTAAACTGAGATGTTTTTGAGCTAAACTGATGGATGATTTTGTCCTGAGACAGGAATACAGTCACTCTTCGAGGTTCCACAGTAGTTTTGCAGTTGTAGAGTGAAGATACAGTGTTTCAGTGAATAAAACTGAAGGGTCTTGGTTGTATATCTGAGCAAAGCCTGTATTTAATTTTTTTATGGGCAGAAGTGCTTTTTTTTCATTCCATGTCATGGCTGATTACTTGATGGCACAGTATAACCAGCATTGCAGATTGTTACCTTGGAACTTCCGTTGAACTTTTTGTAACAGATCTTCAGCTTTGCATGAAATTTAGTCATTCTGTCTGCTGTACAAATCCCATACAAGTTTCTAGTGGTGCACAGTAAGTAGGTAAGTAGTAGTAAGTAATCTAAACTAAATGTGTAAGCATATTCTTTTCACTGATATCAACTATAAATTTTTCATTTTATTTCTTTGTGCTGCTGACAAGTCGCGGCTAGGATCCAAACATCCCTGTTCCTTTTTCTTTTGTGCATACTGAGTACGCTAGTTGGAGTTGGGTATTCCCTGTGCTCAGCTCAGCATCTTGGGAATACATTTCTTTACCCAGTGAGGCTGTACTTGCTACAAACATTCACCTGGAACTCATTTGTGGAGCTCATTAGTGCTGTTGATTATTAGTGACAAAAGTAATAAACCTCTCTGGAATGATCCAAGCTGCCTTCAAGACATACCACTTTGGATGGGCTTTCTGATAAATAAACCAAAGGAGGAGTTATCATAGAATCATAGAATGCTTATAACGTTGGAAGGGACCTCTAGAGGTCATCTAGTCCAACCCTCCCTCACACGCAGGGTCACCTAGAGCACGTGGCACTGGACTGCGTCCAAGTGGGATTTGACATATAAATTGTTCTCTTAAAGGGTACTATTTCAGTATAGACAAAGATTAAATCTGTATTAAACCATCTTGAAGAAAAGGAGAGTACAGTCACAACTAAATGTGAGTGACTTGCCCAGATTACAGATTTTTTGCCATTAATTCAGACACTCAGGCTGCTGCCACGGAGTGTGCCAAGATTTGTTAGCTCAGGTGCAGAGTCGCATGGCTCTTGCTGTGGTGTTTGGAAGTGCTACAGCCCCGTGAGTGGAGAGCCAATCCACGGCAGGCTTGGTAAGTTCAGTGTATTAAACCAGGATCTGGAATGTGAAGAACTGCGTGTTGGAAAAGGGGAATTGGTGGTCATTTCAAATAGCGCTGTTTGTGTTCCACGTGCAACACCAAATAGGTGATGGGAAGGAAGCAGGATTTAAGCCGAGCAGACGTATGTGCAGCGCAGAAGGCGCGTTGAGCGCAGTGCTTGAGCCGGGTACCTCTGTGGCTTGCGCCAGCAGGTGGCACTGGGACAACAACAGTTTTACAAGTGCAGCCGAAACAGTGCTGAGAGAGCAGTTACACCAGCACCAGCGCGTGCCAGTGATCTTCCCCCTAGATACTTGTTTCCCGGTATCATTCCCAAGAATAAGAATACTTTGACAACATACACAAAGCATGGTAAAATTTGAAGAGTCAAGTACTCAAGCAGTAGGTAGCAATAGAATAAAATTCATCTTTGGCTAGTTTTCCTCTATGTGTGCATGATGATACATGATTTAGAGGATCTTGTTCAATTCCTCCCCCTTCCAGCTTTTTTTGGCTGTGCAGAATTTATTGTGCAGCGTATGTAATAAAAGGATGGCACATCTTGGTGCTATCTGTTGTAACTGGAGAATTTACAATAGAGGAAAGGTTTTTAGAAGAAGTAAACTGTGCCAATTGACAGCCTCTCCAGAGCTGTTTGTCAGAGACTGATCGCCTGTATTGTACCTTTTACTTGGGTGGTTTTTGTGCCTGCTTGGGGAGGTAGTATCGGCTCGTGAACCTGGCAGCAGTCTCGTAGTGATTCCGTAGTCAGACAGTAAACTGGGAGCAGCCGGAGCTGTGTCTGAAGCTGGAGCTCTGCTGTCAGTACCTGGGAGTGCCCTGAAAAAAACACAGCTAACTACCACATATTGTTTACTGACTGAATATATGTTTATCTGTGCTTCGATTTATTGGAAAAGGGCACAAAAAAAAAGGCTGACTAATATATTCTACCTTGAAGGATTGTTGGGGAAATGACTGTTGTGCTTTGCTATAGATATATTGATATATTGATATATCGATGAATATGAAAGATTGGGAAGACCTGTTGAATATTGTATAGGCAACATCTAGACTTATTTTCAGCATAGGCATGTTTGGGGACCGGTCTTATGGATGGAGTTGATCACAGTGAACTAGCGGAGATATTATGCTGTAGTTCTTCTTTGGTCATTAGTAGAGGGGAACAAGCCTGTGCTTAATAATTCTGTTATATTGTGGCAGTGATGCAGAGGCTGGGTTGTTGACTTCTGTTCTAGAGACTGGAGGAAAACTTCCCTTAAGGCATGGGCGTGTTTCCTGCTGCCACATCTCAGGCTTGTAAATTAACAAAGTGCTGTTTATTAATTGATTGATTATGACAGACATCTGGGTCATTATTTCTTTTCCAGAAGAGAAAGATTCTTCATTTCAGTGTGGGGCTCTGAGTTTTGGCCGTCTTATTTTCAGATTTCTGACATTTTCCACTTTTTTAAGGAATACTCAAGGCAGTGATTTGATGTTGACACCTTGTCCATTACAAATAATGTTGTTAAAACTGATATTGCGGGAGGGGAAGTCTCCTTCATCTTTAAGTTTGTTCACTAACTGAGAATCTGCTGAACGCTGCCTACATCTGTCTTTTTATCATGGAAGAGAGCAAAGTCTTCTGCACTTTGTCTGTTGCAAAGTGCTCCTAGAAGACACTAAGTAGTTGCACAGCTATCTTGCCAGTAGGGCTTTCCTTGTGAAATCTGAGGAAGTTAATGTTAATTTGACTGTTCCATGTGTTAAGGTTTATAAATTTGAAGGTGAAACTTAACACATGTGTATGTGCCTTGAGTTCAAAAGTACAGCCTAAGCTTGAACACTTGAAAAAAATGGAGGTGTCTGTTTTTTTTTCCCCTGAATTTTTAACATTTCCAGTTCCACTAGTGTGAATGCCCAACATTGCCAACAACTGGTTAAGCTGAGTCTCGTGCTCTCCTTGCACCTAAGCCTGTTCGGTATCTTTAATCATCTGTATTTGAAGCCATTTGAAAAAGCCTGGGTGAATAAATGTTGTTGAGCATTTTTGTAACAGGAGAAAGAAATGCTTAGATTCAGCACAGCAAAACACAGCAGCTGAGTCTGCTTTATTTAAAAACACATGTGGAAGGGAAGGTGTGGCAGTACCTAGCTCACGTTGATATTGTAGGGAGTAAAGTAGTGCTTCTTGCTGGGTGCAGGTCCTGTGATGGGTTGCAGAAACGGTCTCATCGCTTGCCCAGTCAGGCATGGGCACTGGCTACCAGGACAACTTCACGGCCTTCTACCTACCTGCTGTGGAGAGCTCATGGGACAAAAAGAGTCAGTATAAAGTTAGTGATAGATCAT